GCTGAATTTTACAACAAGATAGAAGACATCCAGATCTACAACTTTCATGTTTTGCACTTTGTTAGATTCAAAGTGGGTCATGGTCAAAAGTGTGGAAAACTGAGGTACTGCTACAAAATAGTGTGGGTGTTGATGCCTATGTTTCCAAACACCAATACCTCCTTGATTTATTTCACTTTTAAGCCTCCAAATCCTCATATAATGTGTCCATCTCTTCACCACTCATCCACACTTAGTTGCAAGGCTCTAAAATCCATTATTTAAGATATAATTACTCCATTACAATACCCTTTAGCTTTCTCTTCAAAAATTCAACACTTAGGCTCCAATTTTGACCTTGTTTCCTCCCAAATGATCATCCCTACAAAATAACATCAAAACACACAAAACAAATAAAAAAAAACATAAAATAATTGAAAACTTGTAATTTCATTAAATCGAAAATACTCAATTCGTAGGTATAAAACCCACTCATCAATAGTTTTAGAGAGAAGGCTCATGGAAGAAGATAAAGTTTTAGATAGAGAAAGTTAGATTTTTGCTTTTTCTCCATCATTTCAGTTGTAATAAGCTTTAAATCAATTATAATCTTTACTTTTGCACTTTAATCTTATTTATTTCAAGTGTAATCAAGTCTAGCTTCATGTTCTTGAATTTCCATGTCTACATTTGGGTTTTTCTTTTGAAGCTTTCTATATTGAGTATGAAATGAATTTGCTTTTGTAGTTTAACTTTTTCTTGCATCAATACAAGTTCTAAGCATTATTTCATCACCATGTCTCTTTACATTTTGTATGTTCTTGCTTTGACTATGGGTAGCTAAGCTTTCAGTTGGCTAATCCGAGGTGAATTTCTTCTTAGGTATGCTGAATCAAATCTCCTCAAATCTTTCTCGTAGTGTAAAGTGTTTGGTTTGACTAGGTTGAGTGTAGACGTGGTTGTGAGCTCTTGATACACCGTAGACTTGTCACGGGGTATGCTTGAGCCTACACATCCACATTAGTCCCTCACTTCCTACAAATCAATCAAACACCTAGGTATCATTGGTCAAATGAGTTGAGTTGATTTGGCATTCTCATTGGAATGACCTCTTTGGATTAGCCAATCTTGTTTTCTTGCATTTTATCAAAACTACATTCACCAAAACACAAATTCACAAGATTTTACACTTTTCATTTCTTTACAAATCACCCTTCACTACAATTCAACCTTCTTTCCCCGAGAAGGTGACCTTGAAATACTTAATTCCAAATAAAACATGACATTGCAAGTCTTTCTTCGCTTGGGGAGCACTTTTGCACACACACACACAAAATTTCATTTGCACACATGATTTGCCCCATTTCTAGCATCGAACCCGAGGGAGAGTGACACTCACCTACTCATATAATCCATATACAAACTACCAGGATCATGTTTGGAGATTAGGGTGAATGCAACCAAGCATTTTTGGTGTTGTTGCCAGGAAAGGCTAAGTGTCAAGTTTCGAAGGTGATTTGGGACGGTGTAGGTAAGCCTTGTGATTTTCATCATGGGCCAAGGTATGTCATCTTTATTATAAATTGTTTGTTGTAGTTTGTGTTTTATGTAATGTTTCATAATTTTTATGGTAATGTGTTAAATGCCCCAAATTTTGAAAATGTGTGCGAGATTTGTAATGAGTATGAGCACATCACTAATGAGTGCCCAGTAAATTATACAGTTTAAAACTTTGCATGTGAAGGATCAATTTCAATATTGGCCTCCAAAAATTTTTACCTCGACCATTATGTTGCAACGAGTTATCCGAGTTATGGTTGGGAGAACGAACCTTATAATTTTTCATCCGATGTCACACCACCAAATGAATTTTTCCATTATCCAACATATGAGGACTCAACTAAACATGAATTGGAGAATACTCTTTGTGAGTTTATGCTATACCAAATGGAAGTCAATGCCCAAGTAGCCCAACAATTTTCTAAAATTAGGGATGACTTTATTGCATTGACTAATGTCATAATTAATAATTGTGAAGAACAATATTTTGAGCATAGTCAATGTATTGGGGATGATCATTTGTATGGAATACAAATTTATGTTGAATCTCCCACCACTCTTGATTGTGAAAAATTTAATGAAGTTATTATCTCACATGAGGCTAATAAGCCCAAGGTCAATTTGCCATCAAAGAGTGGTGTTGAGTTTCACAATTTTCAAAATGGGGAGGGCATTAAAATGGAGTTAAGTGTAGAAATTATAAAGAGAATTTGTATATTCCATTGTTAGAATTTCATAAACTTGTGTGCACCTATGTTTTGTTGAGAATTTTTAATCATTATATGTATTGTTGGATAGATTGGTTAGGAAAGGCATTTACACACCAAAAAAATTTTAAAATCAAAAAAATCAATGGGCGTAAGCTCATATCTGAATTGAAGCCGGATTAACATGAGTCCTTTTTGTTTTGTTTTCATGTACATAATAGTTAGATTATTTTATTGTTATATTTTTATTTTCATAATGTTGTAGTGTAGATTTTAGCATGAAGTTGTTTACCTCACCCAAATTTGGACTCAATTCATTTTGAGCATCATCGTAACAAATCTTATTTAGTATCATGTTCGAGTCTAAGTTGGGGGGGGGTGTAAAAAAGAATTTTTTTTTTTTTTTTTGTGTTTAATTTTCCCTTTAATGTGTATACTAAAAAAAATGAAAAAGGGGGAAAAAAAAAAGAAAAAATGGGAGTATCTTATTTCCCATGTTACTTTCATTTTTCTCATTGCATGATTCCTTGTCCATTTTAACTCTAATCCGGTCGAACCTTTAAGCTTAGGACAAACGTAATGACCTTGATACGTAAGATAATCTCTTGGCTTAATTAACTTAGTAGGATTAGAGTTAAAATGGAATTAGGGATTAATCCGTGTATAGCTCCTAGGTGATTTTAAAAGAAGATATTTTCTAAACCATTTTGGATTTTGAAAACTTAATTTGAGTCATTAGTGGACCCTTCTTGAGCAACACCCTTTAGTTTTTAAGAGGAGAACTTTTTTGCTTGGTTTTATGCTTTAAAAACTAGTAAGGATTGTTTTATGCTCGCTAACCTTTGCTAGAGCAGTCGCTTTATAACTTAGGGAAGAAAAGAGGACAAAGCCACAGACAGAGTACAGGGCTCGCTCTATGAGCTCGTTGATTCACTTCGGCAGTTGTAAACCCAAGTGTAGGTGTCAAGCAAGTAGTAATTTCTTGGTAGAGTCCAAGGTTGAACCATAGGAAGATGAGAATTTTAGAGTGAAAAAAGAATTAATAAAAGAAATATGTTATGTGTTTGAGAGAGATTGATTTGGTAGTGAATCTTAAAACAAATAAACTTAAATAGCTTGAGAAAATGATTTGGGAAATTACAAAGGCATTGGATACTTCTTCAGTAACAATATGGTAGTAAATTAATCCTAATTTCCAATCTCAATTGCGAAACAACTAGGAAATGAACCAAATTGGAGGATTTATCAATGATTAGTTAGGAAATTCTCCCAGATATAATTAATAAGCAAATCTAAATGAATCCAAACGTCCAATTACTAATCACAAGCATTTAACATGCCAAAAGTCAATGATAAATCAAGCAATTAACCAATCAAATATCTCAATTCATATAAATCAACAAATCTACTAATTAGATGAAATCATTAAGAATTCAACCCAAACATTTACATCTAGCTACTGTACTCACAGGGAATCTCAAGTTTCCGTCTCATGTAGCATAATAATTTAAGAGAGTATATAGAGAGAAAAATTTACTAAATAAGATGAATTGAACAATTAAAGAAAAATATCAATTAAAGCTCATAGGATTAATTACATACCCAAATATATACTAAAATTTCCCCTAGCCTTAGTGAAAGAGTTTAACCAGTCATTAATCGGGGCTAAAACACAAAATTAAAGAAAGATTAAAGAAGAAATAATAGAAAGCTTCCAGATCTAAAAAAACATTCCACAAAAGAGGTGAAAAATTACAGAGAGTACTTTCCCTTGCAAAGTGTCGAGGACAGAGGTGCCTGCTGTTTCTCTTCCTCCTCCCCTTGAGGTTTCTGTGCCTGGGCCGAGCTTGCCGTAGATCGCACTGTCCTCAGTTCCTCAAGGGACCTTGCCTTTCCCTTTTGAAGGGGTTTCTGAGCAGGCTGGGGCCCAAGCATCTCCCTTATCGACAGAGGTTGAGAGGGATTTAGAGTCAATTGCCCATATCTTGTGTGGACCTTTTATTCCCAAACTCGTTGGGAAAATTCGCCACCTGCTAGTGGAGGGCGTGAAGGTGAAGAAGAGCAAGGGTTCACTGATCAGGAATGTGAAACATGCTGCAGAGGCTATTGCCTCTATCATCCCTGAGTCTGATATTTAGGAGGTTGCTGCCATGCCCCTTTCAACTTTTGCCATTATCGCTTTGTTTGGTGCCACTTCGATAAGTTTTAATTTTGTCTAATCTCATTTTTGTTCTGTGTTGTTGCCTTGCACTGACTCTATCATTTGGTTGTATTTTCCTTCAGTTGGTTATTCACATGAGTGCCCTAGAGAGTTAGGTCAGGGCTTTGGAAAGTATAGCCCAGGAGGCTTAAAAGGTGTTAAAGGCATCAACGCTTAAGGTTGCCAAGTTGGCTTTTTCCAACGATGACCTCAAGGCTCAGGTACAGGACTTGTAAGCTCAGGTTAAGGCGATGACCTCCTCCAATAAAGGCTTAGAGGTAGTGAAATAAAAAGCAAAGGATGAGGCCAGAAAGACTAAGGAAGAGCTCAGGCTAAATATGGATAGCTTTCTCCAGGCTTGTAAAGATGCATTTGAGGCCCTTGAATCCTTCGAGACAATGAAAAAGGAGTATGAAATCTTGGCCAAGGCAAACAAAACTCTGTTGAAGGAGATTGATTCTAAGAGGCTTTCGTTAAGAAAAAGGATGCTCTAATCGCTAAGCTGGAGGATGAAGCCACCACCAACTAGGCTACTAGGTACATTGCTTTTCAAGATCAAGTTGTGGCGAAGTATCTAGACCTAGACTTTGAATTTGATCCACCTTTGAATAGGGAGAAAGAGGTGTCATGTGCTGAAAAAGAGGCTGAGGTCTTGGTTCCTACTGTTTCTGAGCTTGCTCTTGAGGGTGCCGAGGTATTTGTTTCTTCAGCCAAGGTCCCTGCCCCCATGGGTGTCAAGGCGTCTGTCTCCCCAACCGAGGTCCTTGCTTCTACGATTCCTTCTACATCAACCATTGTTTATATTCCTCCTGTGCTTCCTGAGCTACCTAAGGCTCTTGTTGACTCTACATCAGTTGCTATTCCTGAGATTCCTGAGTTGCCTGGGCTACCTAAGATCCTGAATCTGACTGAAAGCATTTAATACTTCTATTTCTGTTTTCTTTTTGTAAAGGACTTTGCAACCAGTTTTTTATAACAAAAAATGTTTTTTTTCAGTGTTTGTATTTTTATTTTTTGCTTTTAAATTGTTGTACTTTTGATTGTTATGTTCTTGCATTATTTTTATTCCCCTCTGCCCCTTGCTTCGAGGAGATCTTAGTTCTCCTTGAAGTATTAGTTCGGGCATCTGACCTTGATTTGAGCTGAGGTACCAATCTTGTTTCTTTGATTTGAAAGGATCTCATGAGCTGCAGAGCTTTATAAGTTGAAGGGCTTCTTGAACCTAAGGTCTCTTTTTCTGATCTGAGTAGTTCAGCTTTATGAGCTGAAGAGCTCATTTTCCATGGAGTTGTCTTAGCTCAACCCAAAGAGCTCACCCTTGGTTCGTGTTAGGCCAAGCCTTATCTTTATGAGCTGAATGGCTCATTTTTATGAGTTGAAGAGTTCACCTTCCATGTGGCTAGGGTGCCATCAATTGGATTGAGCTACTTGTGCTCTACTTTTCATGGGTCCGTACCTGGCCGCTCTACTCCTTTGAATGGAAAGTGAAAAATGGGTTGTTATTCATACCTATCTACCTTTTTAAAACACTGTCATAATCCTGGGAGTTTAAAGGGCTGCCTCTTAGTATTCGCGCATTTCTTGCTCCCTTAAAACTCAAAATTCCCTATTATTTCCATAAAACTTGGGATTTCCTATTGTCTACAAATCTTGGGGTTTCTTCTTTGTGCTCCTCATCCTTCCTAAGACTTCTTTCATTTTCTATCTTCTTTCTAGTTTACATGGCTCCTTCCTTTACTCCTTTGTTCAAACAATAAGCCCAAGCCATGATTGACATGGTGTGGTATTCTAAGAAATATTGGGGTTTCTTCCAGAGTTAGAAGAAATCAAGAGGCAGTATCTTCTACTTGCTGACTTACCCCTCCAAGTCCCAACTCCTGATGAGCCTTGTAACTTTCTCTCCCAATAAGAAACTTGTTTTTTCAAAGGTGCTTTCGAGATGGGTCTTCTTTTGCCCATCCATCCTGCCATTGGGTGGATTTTAGAGGTGCCATTTTGATCCTTTGTTGATCCTCGATGTTATCAACTCTCCTAAAGGGTGGACTCAACACTTTTTCTTTGCCTCTAGAGACACTTGGAGGTCTGTTGAGTAGCGATCTACATGTTCCTGGGTCCCTTATTCTTAGGGGCACTTCTTTAATAGATGTAGATGTTCAGGATCTATCCTTTTATAATTTGTGGACATTGTGATTGGTTCTTATTGTGCTTTCACTGTGTAGGTGCTGACTTGATCCAAAATGTGTACACCCAAGTGCAGGCGGTCAAGCTGTAGTAATAATCCGATAAAGTCCAGAGTCAAATCCACAGGGAGCTATAATTGGTGTTTTGAAGTAAACAGTAATAGAGACCAAGTAACTTTTGGAAATTTCGCGTGTTTGGAGTGGTGGGGTTTTCTTGATTAGAATAGAAGATTCTTTTCAAGATTTTTCTAGATAAAATATAAGATTCTCAAAATAGAACAGTCACTCTTTAGCTTGAGGATCATAACATGTAATAGAGTATCCATTTTGTTATGTTTGTGCTTTATAACTCGATTAACTCCCGTGTCAACAGCAAGTTAATCGAAAGATAAAGATGGATTACGAGTATTAAGCACATGGTTCCGATGCCTTTCTAGAAGTTTACAAGAATTGTCTGTGTCGAAACTTAACCCGTCTTCAAACAAGCAAGTGTTTCTACAAGGCATCCAACCATGGCATTAATGATCCATTTTTTGAATAAAGTGCAATGATAAGGGGATTGAAAGGTTGTCATGAAGAGCTAGCCGGGGTACTTGCGTTGAACCATCGGATCTTTCTATGTAGGAGTCATCTGTATCATAGATGGAGCCTTGGTTATACAAAGTACCTCAACTTTACTAGGTGCATTCAATCATCCGATGAACAGGTGGAGTATAAAGCATTAAAGCATGAAAAAGTTGCACAAACATAACTTTCGGATAATCTTTACATATTCATCACCTCTTACTAAAGAGTGAATGAGGAACTACGCACGAATCACACCCCCCAACCTAAATATTGCTAGTCTCTAGTAATACGATGACAGTGAAATGTAAATCTATTCCTAATGCCTTTTTTGTTGGTCATCCGGTTGCATTTAGCTTATACAATAAGCCGTTAAACCGCTAGGTTTACCCTAGTGGACGAGTGTTGTCTCGTTAGGGTTTTCAGTGAAGCTACCCACAAACTTCAGTCGAACAAATGTGTGTGCAATATTACAAACTAAAAAAATGAATTAGCATCATGGTCGTTGGGACACTCAACCCTCAATCGTGACTTATCACCTACATTTTCCTTCCATTGGTACTCACTTTATGCAAAAATTAGCACCTGTTGCATTAGCATTTGAGATTCTTTGAGTAGTAGGATGGTCATAACAATCATTCCCTTTTTCCACCTTGTATGGATAGCTTTGATTACATAAGTCTCTCTAGGAATGCTCTCAGCAAAACAAATAGCTCCGATTGTAGTGACATAACTCTCAATGGTGGCATGTGATCAGAAGATGGCCAGTCAAAAAATCTCATGCATCATTAGTATAAGAGTGAAGTTTTGAGGAAACCAGTTTTAACCTTGGCATAATCTCATGAACGAATATTGATGCAAATAAAGAGATTCTAACACTCCCCACTTGTAGTAGATAATACAAATACGCATCACACTTGAGATCACCTAGGGCTTTTTGTAGGTTGTAATGGGGCCAGAGGTCAGTGACTAATGAAATAACGTCAATGGTGATCAAAGGCTATCTTTTTATGTAATGTTGCACACCTCTTTCTAACTCTTTTGATATTTTGCCTGGGAATGAGATTTCTTTCTTTTATTTGTCCCATGTTTCACTTTCTTGGCAATTCCTTGTCTCATAGTGTCTTTTCTCTTTTGGCTGCTTCCACTGATTTTCCTTGTTTTGAAAAGTAGCCACCATTTACTATTTTTCTTGCCTTTCTGTTTTCATCTTGATTTTCAAGCGGGTGCAAGAAATTTGATAGCAAGGAATGGTAAATGTGTGCTTTTGTGGCTTGGGTCATTACACGAGCGAAAAAGAATTCATTTATTTGAGGGTCAAGCATAGCTGACTAGGGATAAGCTTTTGTAAAAGAATTAGCTAAGGCTCAAAGTCGATCCAAAGATGGCCTAAGATCCTTTCTCAAGTATGTGCATATGTTTGTATGCAAAAGTTCCTTATGGGTTATGAAAAATAGATTACTTTAGTTGCATCAATCAAAACAAGTTTAATGAGATTATTGAAAGAGATCAGAATTGAAAGAGCTTACTTTGAATAATTGTTGATATCCTCTCAAAAAGCACTGTAAAGCTCAAGACTTACCATGGTTTTCTTTGTCATCTCTGCTGGTTATGTTGGGTGTTTCAAGGAATGTTAGTTATATAATGATTTCGTTTCCGAGTTTGATCACCTTGTACTTTAAGAATAACAAATACTAATGTACATTTGACAATTTAAGCATAAAGATAGCATTGATGTTCCAAAAAATTAAGGTTTTAAGTCGTGGATGTTAAGTTGAAGTGTCAAACCAATCCTGTTCTAAGTCATTTTCACAAGTAATCTTAACATCGACATGTGTTTCGTTATTAACAAGAATTAGAGTGCTAACCCTATACATGCATTTTAAACAAATAAAAGTGATAAACTGAATTATTCATTGCATAAAAGATACTCGTTTATAGTAATGTCAATGATACAATTCATCCATTCAAAATATCACTTCAACTATCCACAATCATATACAAGTGTCCACAATACTCACAAAACATCCACAAGAATTATCAAAAGAAACATTTTCGCAACGGTACAGAAATCTCCTAAAGACTATTCAAAGAAGAATTAACAACCTATTCAGAACAGAAATCATCTACTCCCACTCAAGAACAGAAATGAGCAATCCTCTCCTCCAACTCCACTCGCACTACCAGCACTACCCCTCAAAAGTCTCAAGATCTCATCTTGCTTAGCTTCAATGCTAAGCATGATGTCCCGTAGAGATCGTTGAATGGAAGTGCTGGGGCCTGCCTGATCATGCTGCTTCTGAGTCTGCATGTACTCTCTCTCTAGCTCCTTCTCTTCCTCTCGATCTAACTCTTCCTGCACCTTATCAACACCTTGGGGAGGGGGCACTTCTTACCTAGTAGCCGGGGTATCACTATGCCCTCGGCTTCTCTTGAAAGATCCCTTATTAAGTGGCCCCATTGGCGTTTGCACCTCCATCTCAGGCTTTACCTTCACCCCACTGTCGACGCACATCTCCGTCACCAAAGTGCCAAATGGAAGTGCACTTCTTTTCACATCACATCCCTTTTTTATTTCACTCAAAATGAGGGAGGGAAGATCAATACTATGGCCCCTTCCAATTGCATAGAGCAAGCGAGCCATTTTTGGCAAAATTTCATTTGATCTTTTTATGGGAGAGAAGTTGGAGACAACAATCAGGTTTAGCATTTTACATCTATCTGTCAACTCCCTTTGTTTTAGAAAATTCCTCCCAGTCCAAGAAAAGTTGGCTACCCACTCAATTCTTTTCCTACCCTATCCATTGGTACATCTTTCTTTGGAGGGTCTATGGGTTTATCTACCCGAGGCAACTCTGTTCTTATCTCTTTTATGTACGCCTCGTCCACATCAATGTGGATACCTATCACGTAAGTGCGGATCGCGCCGTTGATGATTTCGACGTTGGAGTAGAACTCCCGCACCAAATCGACAACAGCTTCCCCACCATTTCTTAAACACCAAACCCATTCCCTCTTTTCTATTTCCTCCTCTTTCCCCAATTCAGCAAAATTAGAAAGTACAACGTCCCTTTCGCAAACAACAGAATGCTTATGGTAGAAGTTTTCATACCTTTCGGCCTTTCAGGCACTTGGGAATCGGGTACGATTGTATCTTTTTGTTCTTTGCCTTCCCTTT